CCGCCGTAGTAACATGTAATTATTATTAGAAAACACAAGGTTACACAGTCCTCGACTGAGTACAGATGTGTAGTGTTGTAGTCGACGATAACGGACAATTGAAATGTAACTTGTGTCGTCATGTGCACGAAAGTGTCTAGGGATATTGCAATTGAAAAGCACCCTATATGTATATATATATACATATATACATATATATATACATATATATATATATACATATATACATATATATACACACATATGTGTGAGTGTGTATCATTACTTTTAATAGAAATATGGTTCAGTTTTTAAATGAATATATGATATCGCGTGGTGCAGACAGTAATATAAATATTCGAATAAAAGATGTAAATATTTTCACATCCTTATTCTTTTATGTATACATTTTGTTCAACTTAATAATTTATTACCACAGTAACAAATCGCACTCTTGAACAAACATAATGGAGTCGCATGCAGCAACATTTTATCTACATCCAATTTGCGACATTTCTTCGACAAGTATATTCACCAAAAGTACAGCGACTTCAAGATTTTTTTCGGTAAAATCGCGCGACGAGAGATGTACATACTGCCTACATAGATACAATAGATCTTGATTTTTACCTTTTTTTCCTCGCGACAATCTGCACGTTTTTCTTCTTATTTACCCGTGATATAATCGTTAATATAACAACTATTTATTCATAAATTCTGAACGATCAAATTCAATTGTAACGTGATCTACACTACAGTCCATTTCCCCTTCAAGATTTTCGTTTGTTTAACTTATACATATGAGATGCAAAATGCATGTGATTATCCCAGATTGAAAAGATTGAAAAGATGTACGAAAAAAATTAGTGAAAAACTAAAGAAATCATGTGTCTATGGAAAGCCAGGAAATGAACGGTAGTACTCATAACGTTAATCGATGGCAACTCGAGTTCACCTAAAAAGATATCGCTCGATAATCATTATACTCTCGATTTTCCGTTGTTGCGTATTTTTTGTCCTTTTCTTTTTTTGTATTATCCCGTTAGTCGCACGAGCGGCAGTGACTCATTTTCCCTCTGCGCGCGCGCGCGCGTACACACACATACTCCACACACACACGCGCGCGCGGGTACGCGCGAACGCGCACACACGCACATGCATACACACGCAAACACATCGTCATCATCATCTACCCCTTTTTCATCTCGTCTTCTTCATCTTTTCTCGTCTTCATGTGCAAACAATATGCGTAATAACTACGTCACAAATCCGTTTTTCGTTTTCTTCTTTTCTTTTTATTAAGTCTGCGATTATATGAATATACTCAACAATCAGTTGATACCCTCTGCGATATAATGGTCATATTTCAGGCGAGTTTTGGTGTTTGCGCGCTTAATGGCAAGTATGACGATGTGTGTTGATGATGATAATGACCTGGCGATGGTGACATTATCTCAGGTGAGGTGACGATGACGATAAATGGTCTCGATGTAACAATGATTATACCGATGATAATTCTGATGACCATGTCGATGTCATAGCCGATGAATAATGACGATGACGACGATGGCATAGACTCTGACAAGTTTCGTTACTTCGCTTAATGACTTGAAAACGAGTTTACGAGTTATAATTCCCAAATGTTCGAGTTAAGTTAAAGCCTTTTTCACTTGATTAAGGGAGAGTCTAAATTTGGATTGGGATTAGGCTGCGTATTCGAGGATGGCGATGGTACCTGTGCCACCACCGAGCCTTTTCCCTCAGACAATACATTTCCTCCTCCGCCACCGCTGCTGCTGCTGCTGACACCACCGCCACCTTCTTTCATTTTCTCGCAATAATCTGCAAAGATATCACGGAAACGTGCCCAGGATTTTTCTGGTACGGTGATGGCTGTCCTAAAGTTCGTCTTCACCTATAAGAAAATAATTTATACATTTTTCCTATCGTCGCATGTTATATTTATTAAAAACTTCATTAATTTTGCTTTCTTTTTATTTTGCTGACATTAAAAAAATAATAAATGTAATTTTTTTTTATTAATATAAATATAAACTTAAATATTTTTTTATCTACTCAAACCAAAAAAAGATTCCATTTCTATTTCTGATATTTTTAATTGAATTTTTTACTTTTTAATAAGAGCATTTATAAAGTAAAATGTCTTTAAAGGGCTATAGGTCTTTTTCTTACAAAAATTTTGATGTAAAAAAATATAAATAACATTTATTATGCAAAATATGACACTGACTTTAAAACATAATAAACATACTAATCATATCATCTCGCAATTTCTATATTAGTTGCAATTGATCTCAAGTTGATTGCAACAAGCTCGCAATCATTTGTGATTAATGTAGAATCATAGTTACGGATAGGATTTTTTTTTCTTTTATGTTAAATCAATGTATAGTGTTTATAGATTTATGAAAAAAAGAAAATTTCTATAAAAGGATAGGGTAATTTCAGTATGTAACAATGCACCTAATAAAAATATAATTTATCAAGTATTATTTACTATGCTAAGGTAAATAAATTATACCAAAAACTATCTACTATTATGAAAAAAATATTAGGAAATAGAGGCCTCAGTGATTTAAAGGCTTAAGATGCTTGCACGAAATGCTAGAAATTCGGGTTCGATCCCTGGCCGAGGTAATATTTTTCGCAATATAATTGTTTACAGATTTTAATTTGTTATCCAGCATTATTACTTTATAAGATGCTATGAGCATCAAATTAGTAAATTGCTAAGCAATTTAATTTGTGATATTACTATTGTAGTATAATTGGTTTGCGTTTCAAGAGCGAAAAATGAATTCGGCGCGCAATTTAAATAATTATATAGGTAGTATATAAATTCACATAGAATTATTTAAGCACTTAAGATTCAGATTAAAGGTTTCCTTTCTTGTTCACATGAAACTCTTGTTTAATAATTGCTTAGTAATATTCTTTGCAATAACCAGTAACTTTATAGAAATTCTCTTGTGAATCTCAATAAATTAAAAATGCTTGATAATATCATGTTTCCTATGTTTTTTTCTAGATAAATATCTTAATTAAAAAAAGGAGTTCTTTTTCTCATAATTTTACGTCAAGATGATCACTGGCCAATTCGAGCAGATCTTTTTTTTTTGATAAAACAAAAATTATAAAGGATAAAAAGAAAAAAATATATATAAGAAAAAATACATACAAGAAGGTAAAATTTCAAATGATTTATCTATACGTTTCTTAGGAAAATAATTTATACCTCAGAAATTCTCATATAGATGCCACGATTGTTCTGGCCGATATCAAAATAGAAATTCTTGCTATCCACGCGCATGTAACGACCTTCTGGTAAATCACCTTTGAAGCCACCATCATCCGTCCCAAATTCCTCAAGAAGATCCGTTAATGCGTCACGAAATTCTATCATACCTTGTGCTGGTATTGCAATCTGAGTCCTAGGTCCACCTCGTGTTATCGTTTGCGACACCTGAGAAAAGTAACATAAATATTACACAAAATCTTCTGTCCAATTCATTGTATTGTTTGGATTCATAATACGAGATTATCGTTATATTAGATAATCCATTTTATCAACAATTTTAGAAGAACTCTATTTATCTTTTCATTTTTCAAAAAAAGCAGACCTCTTGAGATGAAAGCCGACAGAGTCTTCTTATGACTTAGCGTAGAAAGTAAGTACATTGGCTGGTACATACAGGGTGACTCACCCGCAGGAAACGGCCGCGAGAATTCTCCTTGAGGTCCAAGTAATATCGTCTATTATCCTTCACCATCATTTCTGATTTGAGTTTTCCATCGTCTGGCACATTTTCCGGATTTGGTGGACCTGATTATCCGGCAAGCAAAGATGTTAATAAATTAAACATTTTTTTCAAATATAAAAACTCAATCATAATAATTGATAAAAATTATTGTAAATAAAAAATTATTGTAAATATAAACTCAATACTTGAAATTATGATAAATAGAAAAAAGGATTAATTTTATAATATATCGATATTTTCAATATATGTCAAATTATAAAGTTTTTTAATATTTTATAGAGTGAAGCGTGATTTGTGATTCAACTGAAAAGGGATGATTCTTCACATAAAAATTAATTAAAAATATGAAATAAATTTCTTCATATAAGGATTCATTTTCGAGAAAATTGATTTTAAAAATTCGTCAAATATGTATATAATCTGCTACAATTTCATAGACATAAGTATAACATTCATTCCATTGTCGATAATTTAATGTTTGTAAATACTGTTAAAACATAGTTATTTTTTATTTATTCTATTATTTTGTTTTTTCCTTTCAGTCTCTATCGAGTTACCACCACACGATATAATGACAGAAGATAATGTATTGTTTTTTTTTGCTTTAAGTAAATATTATTAAGAAAAGGCATTCTTTTTTGAATGCCTATCTGAGCACCTGATTTTGAGTATTTGAACTTTGAATATGTTGTTTTCTTATAGACAAAAATAACAGATATTTTTTTTATACATGCATGTTCGCACTTTTAAGGAATGAAACATACCTTACAAAAAAATCGAATATTCTATTTTTAAACAAATATGTTATTTTCTAATCGTTGTCCTGTTACTAAACGTAATCATACAAATACTAATTAAAATTAATTTTCATTGCTTTTCTATCATATGATAAAAATTGTGGTCGTTGCCAATACTTAAAGAAGCAATTTTCTAGGAGATAAATACAATTTTTAAAATATTCTAGATATGATGTCCAGATATAATGTCAGACTATGAGAATTATTCTGCATAATAATTAAATATTGAGTTGTCCGGAAAGTTCGATGCCGATTTTGAAGAAAAATTGAAACGCAGAAGACTTAAATTTTAGTATACATTTATTAAATTATATAGAATTATATAAAATATATAGTATACATTTATTAAATTATATAAAATATATAGTCGGCACGAACTTTCCGGACAATCCAATACATGTGTCACACACAGTCTTTTATAAATGAATAAAATAAATATAAAGTATAATTATACATATATTTGATATGGCTTTTCAAAATTATTTTTCTTTCAAACAAAGCTTTATACAAAACAATTTTATTTCATATTTTCAATTTATTTTTGTATGTATAAGATATTTTCAATTTATTTTTATATGTATTTTAACTCTATATCATGAGTCTCATGTATATAATACATATGTCCCATATTAACCTTT